GTCTTTTTATAGAGAAAATGTGCCACAAATGTGGCAAAACAAAACAAATAAACTATCTCATCATGCATCACATGTAGTTAATTGAACTGTTATATAATAAGGCTTCCCAAAGCACCTCTCCTACATAAGTTTCCTGTGTGTGCATGCCAAAATATCCATAGAGAACACACATTTCTTTTTGATCTTTACATGCTTTGTCACACAGCATAATATGATTCAGTTCACACATGGATAGCAGAACAGCTCTTTGTAAATGGAGATGATTTGTTAATAGGAGTTCCAGAAGGCCACAGAAAATTGGAACTAATGGTTCTTGATCATCACCTGAAAGCAGATAAAGCTTCCCCCAGTTATTAAAAAATCATACATGTATTCTTATTTAACTAAGAAATCTCACTTATTTATTGTGATGTATTTTCAAGGGAGATCAGGATGGAAGGAGGCAGAGGAGAGGTGCAGGAAATCAATTTATAACATAATTAGATACCTTTATTTAAGCCATAATTTATGTGCTTGGATTTGGTCATAAGAGTCAACACATGAAGGCTTATACATTTGCAATATCCCAGGCTCAAGACATCTTAAATCTAGTATGAAGGTTGTGACAAAGCATGTACTGTAAATTACTGAACATGTAACAAAAGAGTTTGTGGTCTGACGAGACATTTTTAATCAAAATGAAAACCATTAAGCCTGACACAAGCACAAGACCGCATATTACCCAGTCAGCACCATCCCAAGTGTCAAGAAAAATGGTGGCAGCATCACGTTACGGGAATGGTTCCCATCAATGGGGATAGAATCTGAGAGGATAACAGTTATGTCAGCCAAGAATCTAAATCTGGGTAAAAACAAATCACATTTCAGCAGGACAGGGTGACAAAAGTGTTTTGACAATAAGCAAATGTCCTTGAGTGACCCAGTCAACATTCCGATTTGAACCCACTATGAAATTTATGGCAAGATGTAAAAGATCGATCCGCAATAAATTCCAGTCAGAACTGGAACACTTTTTTTCCCCCAGGAGGTATGGGCAAAAATTACATCATCCTACTGAGCACAGCTGGTTGAGACCTATCCAAAATAACAACGGCAGCAATTGCTGCCAAAGGTGCTTCCACCAAGCACTGACTTAAGGAACCCATTAGATCAGTTCTAATGTATATATTTTCATTGCAGGTTTTATTTAATAGAGGTGAAAGTATGTTCAAGCCACTATATATGCTAGTTTAAAGTGTACTGCGGCTCTTTAAAGGCATTCATAAAACTATTATTGTTAATCAACACACCTCCTGGTTTTCATTATCATAATTACCTTACTTTAATATATTACCTTATATTGATATTAAAGCATTAACAGTTCCCTGATTGGAATATTTGTAAGCTTTTTTTTGCTCCTCAAAAGTTTGGGATTTCATTTTACTTGAGATGAAGTAGTTGAAAGGCAACCTTTCAACTCCAACACGTTTAGGAGCTGAAAACTGTCAAACAGTTCAATTTAATCCTATTATTAAGTCACGCGGGTGTTCAACTGTGTGACTGACAGCTTGATTGGAACAAAACCTAACAGGTATATAGATCCAGGAGAAGGACTTCGAACCACTGCCCCAGTGAACACCCAAGAAAACCCAAAACTGGAACAGTCATTCTGCAAACCCAACTGAATTCCAGCACCCGACTGAGGTCTGAGCCCAAAACGTTAACCAAACGTATGAGCTGAACAGGATGTGGAACCATATCTAAAGATGAAAATGAAAAGCCACTGGAGTCCTCATCCTCCCACCTTTTCTGACACTCCTTTCCACATTTGACTTTATTTACAAACTCATGCGCCAACTGTTAGAAGGTCTCCCATTTTCCACATCTGTGCCAAGCCTGTCAGCAAATCTGAAAGTAGATAAATTCTGCAAACTAACCATTTTTGTTGTAAAAAAAAAACTGCCTCTTTGTATAACTTGAAACCTGTCAACAGACTGAGTAAACACAACAAACCTAAACAATGTAAAGAAACATGAAGGACACAAGCAGGCAAACATGAAAAAGAGATGACAGCAGCTTGAAGCCACAATGCACAGTGAGAGGCAGCTGCAATTAAAAAAAGCACAACCACAGCCAGTCTTCACAAAAGCCAATACTGCACTACAGCATGATTTTTTTTCAAAAGCAATCATTTAGAAATCCAATAATGACAAATTAAAAATCAATCAGCATCTGCTTAGCAAAAAGAAAGGCGATTTTCTATTTAGTCCCCAGATGAAGGGGGACATGCTGGTGATGAGTGTCTCTGCCATAGCCTACAAAGACAGATGCAGGCGGCATGTGTTACTGAATGACCTACAACAACATAAATAGACACCTTAAAAAAAGAATGCTTCGCCAATTCTTTAAAACACAAGCGATTCTGGTAAATACGCGTGTTTCCCTACATAGAGGGAACACTGTGGTGTCTGTAAAATCATTTTTATTAACATTAATAATTGTGTCAATTTATAGACATAGACTCATATCCGACCATGTCTCAAATGTTCTATAACTCAGTCACAAAAACAAAGAAAGCACATCTAACCACAATGACTACTCACTAATCTACAGAGAGATAAGTTTCACTTTGTTAAATCTGTACTTTTAATTGTTTTCATGTTCCTTTTTTACACAGTTTATAGTTAAAATACAACTTTTTCAAAACAATGTGAAGAAAACTTAATAGTAGTTAATTGCACTTATATGGCACTTCTCATTCCAATATTCCGAGATTGCAACATATTTCAATACTCCGAGATTCCATAAGATATGAAAGCACTTTACACATATACAAAAAGAGGGGACCCACTTCATCTATTACTGAAGTGCAGCACCCAGCAGCCATTATGTGTCAGCAGGTAGAGAAGTGACCATTTGCTTCACCAATTCAATTAAAGGGGAACTTAATTAGAGAGGCCAGGTCATTAAAGCCCAGCGTAGAATTTAGCCTGGATACCCTGGTTAACACCTTTACTCTTTCAAAAAGCCCCATGGTATCTTTAATTACCAAACAGCCAGCATTCCAGTTTAACATCTCATTTAAAGGACAGCACCTCTTACACTACAGTGTTTCCTATCACCACCATAATGGGGCTCTGTGTAGCTTTTGACATCTCAGGAGATGAGGCCGAGATGCACAAGTATTACTTGATAATTGTGAAGCTGATGCCCTGGCTTCCATCAAGAAATGGCTGGATGAGATCCTTGGATCAATAAACTACTAACTACCAAATGGGCTTCAAGGGCCAAATTGTTCCTCTCATTTTCTATGCATAATGACTTTCACCACAAAAAGCTTCTAAAACTACTTCCCAAAAGCAAACAGCACCGTCATATAAACTTTTATCCAAGGAAAAGAAAGCATGCTAATGTAATTCCTGGCGACAGATTGTTAAGAGCACTTTTATCCACCTATTTTATTTTTTCTGGATTATGTAATGTAAGCAAAAAGAACAGTACAGATGCAAAAAAATCAAATAAGCAATTCTGGTAAAATGTTTAAGGTATGAACTACTTTTATAGCTGCTTCATTTAGAGGAAGTGAAGAGGGAATTGTTTATTTTCGTCAGTGATTCCATCTCAATGTCAGATCTTGTTTGCTTTCTTGTTCCTAAAAAAAACTATAACACTGTGCCGCAGGGGTGAGATCACTTTAAATCAGTTCCCTTTCAAAAGTCTATACACACACATATATAAAGTCGAAGACAGCAGTATTGCAGTATCGTATATTAGATGCTGGTGCATCAAAGGGAACGGGATTAGGTAGCCATCCTTGTAGGCTTGCAGCCAAATCAATTCACGAGTACAGCGCTTAAAAATCAATCTACGATAGTTTCGGCTTTTGTAACAAATGACAGAGCAAAAATCCAGCGCGGAATTAACCTTTAAATCTGTAAACATCAAACCCACTGTCCAGTAGCTCTGTTAGACTACAGAGCTTAAAGAAAAGATGTCTGTTTCTTTCCTTATTAATACTTATTTCTGTGCTGTATATACATCCTATTTAATATGCCAGGGTTAACCCAGGACAAAATTGGATTACGCATTTTGTTTTCCACTGCCGAAGTTCCTTGGGTATTTGATTCACAAGATTCATATTAAAAAATAAAATTGGCACTTTTAAAAATAGTTTTTTTTTATTTCTACTGCATTTGAATCAATGTATATTGTAATGATACAATATAATGTGTTGTGTATTTTATTACCCGCTCTGCATAAGGGCGTCTGCTAAACAAAAACAATATTGGGTCTATAGGAAACAATACAACGAAACTTTTCAAACGTGCTAACACTAGCAACACTACACAGGGCAACTCAGTAGTAGCAAAAAACCGACAGAAAGCATGAATTAAATTAAGAGGATGGTAATGTTTTAATTGGCTATGTTACTGTTTTTATCTAAATACTATTGTTTTTTTCTCGGTACATACAGTAAAGTAAACTGAAAACGATCACGCAGAAACGTAGTAATCTATACTGGAGCTTTTGAGCTTTTCAATGGACGAAAGCAAATAACAGTGTATTAATAATTAAACGATCTAAACTCTTGGTGTATACCTTTTTCCGACATTACATTGAGAAATGATTTAAAAGCTTCGGGAAAATCTAAACAGACTATTTTCTAGTAAGGCCCAGAGCAGGATACAGTGTTGCAACTAGGCGCGCCTCTGACAATTCCCAATCCCTAATTTATTTACAAAGAAAGAGACAGCACTGCTTTGCATGCACCCATAACCATGTAAATCCAACCACAGAACCTGTTATCTCTGACAAGAATTCGATATAACTGAGACTTGCATTGGAACTATTGAGGAACAGCTCATCAGATACCACACAATTGTCAGGCCTCTGCGAGGATATTGGGAAAACTCGGGATTCGACACAGCTAAAATATATAGGCTCCATAATCACTATTCTTCCCCCAAACTTGTGCAATCGGATACTGCTGTGGATTAAATGGAAGTTTCGCTCTTACTTACCCACGCCGTATTTTTCCTTTTTCGTAGGAACCCAGCGAGACATTTTCTCAAACTACAGAAACTTTTTTAGTTGTTAGAACAACTTTCTTGTTTAAGTTTCTCAGATGATGATTTTCACCCCTTGCCTTTTACTATTTGTGCCGAAAGCCACACCGAGCCGCCATTTTCCACCAGTAGCAGGGAGAGCAGCAGTAGGCTGGATGAGAAAATAAGTTTTTGTCATGTGGTGAAAGCGTCACTATAAAAACTTTCGCATGTCAAAATCCACTCTTTTAAAATAAGCGCCATTAAAACTAATGAATTACGCGTTATTTTTACTTTCTTTATGGTGTTCAATTTGTGTTTGTGATTACATTATTGTTGTTATCTTACAATATAAAATTGACTGCTGTGATTGATAAATTACATTGGTTAGCTATAACAGAATGAAAGCATCAGAATAACGTTTTATCATGATATCGTTATGAGGGATAACAATAACTTAAGTAAAAAATATGAACTTCAAACACCTATATTTTTTTTCCAAACAACTAGTCATAAACACAGGAAACTGAATCATACTGAAACAATTATGTAAACCATCAGTATTACATGTACCTATCTGGAATTTAAGTGTAGATTTACATGCATTCACACAGAAACCCTAAACAGGCGATAAAGATAGATATATTGCTAGAATCAAGTTTTGGTTCATGTTTTTTTTTTATCCCACTCGACAACCTATATTTTCTGGGTTAGAGATATGAGAATATCAAATGATTTCAGAATAAAACCCCTAAAGGGATCTTTTCCCTTCAATATATTTTGAATTGCAAAATCTTTCCTCTGTTACATTGGATTACAATGTATATCATTAACGTTTTTAAAACGACTAAGATTTCTGCCTGAAAAGTCGCCAGGCACTGTAGTATTAGTGTGTTTTTGGGAATACCAAAATATTTTTTCTATTTTACTTGGAATATAAGCTAGATGAGACACTAAATAACATCAAATACTTATTTATAACACAGCTATTAGCTCAGTAACTTTAAAATTATTGATGATCGCCATAAGAAAGCCAACCGAATTATTGTGTACTTTTTAAATGTATTTAAAGCTGCAGTTCACAAATAGGTCAGTTGTTGCAGTGAAATAGACTTTACTGTACTTTGATTTAATGAGCAATTAATAAATACCATATTAATTAGAGGTTTGTAGCAGCTCTAATATTTATATATATTTATATGAAAAATATTGAAATCTGTGTTCTGACTGCACCTGCATGTTATTTACAGTAGGTCGTTTTTTAATCACTCAAGACAGCCACTGAGGTTGTGTGTTTACTGTAGGTGATGGTAGTAATAATGATGTGATGTTTTCAATTGAATATATTACTTTACCTAAAGATTGTTTTTCTGCAAAGATATAACTCAGGCACATGAAGAGAAACAGTACTGTACCTGTTTTGCTCCCATATGTCTATCTTAATAGCACAAGAACATTCCACTGCTAGTTTGCCAGGTTCTGTACTGTTAAGATACTCATAGAGAAGCTCCATGTCCCACTGTCCTCACACAGGTTCCCAGGATGTGCCACAAAGGTGCAAAGAAAACTGTTACTTGGTGGACACATTGAGTCATTTCTCATTCTAATGTTAAGACACTTTTTCTGCAGGCACCTCATGAATTTTAACCAGTGCTTCCCAACCCCGATCACGGGGAATTCACAGATTAAGCAATCTTTCCTTAACTTTCTGACCCTTATTTCTGGCTTTAATACAGTATGTGATCAGTTTGCAGCCAACAAACACCTGGGAAGAACACAGTATCTGACACTCCCACAATGAGCTACTGTATTTTCTCTTCCAAATTGATTAGAATTTAGGAAATACTCTTGATTGAGGGCAAATTATATAGGGTTGATATAAATTACAAATCACATGCAATCTTTTAAGACACGAAAGTGCATTTTAAAATATGTCTCAAAAGGAAGACCGAAATAAATTAATTTGTAAATAACATGCAGGTAATAAAGAACGTGGCTAGAGCAAAAAACAGAAGACAGCAGTCCTCCCCAAATCGGGGTTGGTTTAGAATTAAGGACTATCTACAATAAAGCATAGAGTTTTGTAACTTTGTTGATGTAGATCATTATATGCCATTCACAAAATTAACTTAAGATCAAGGGTTAAACTTCTTGATATACAGTATTCAGTGAGATTTTCTTATTATTAATGCAATCCCATTCTAAATGTATTGAGTTATCTATGCAGAAAATCTGACTTAATTCAACTGCCAGTGTAATATCACTCTCCTCATGTTTTATTCTTCAGCTGGAATATCAAAATTATTTTACTGATGTTTCCTATTCAGTTGTCTTCTGGTTTCCTTAGATTCAACTATTTCGATGTTTAATATAATTACTTTAAAGAGAAAAACAATTCAGTATCTAACATTAAATCGTAGAATGCAGAGTTTGTGCTGCTTAACTTTCGGTAAAGATTAATATGCATGCATATACTGTATAATTCCCTAAATGCCTTCAGAGCTCTTTTACTTAGCAATTAATAATTATTAAACCATTAAGTATCAAATTAAGAAAAACACCAAGGGGAAAGAAGTGGGGCTAAGCAATGATACAGAATGTGTTACTTGTCTTTTATTCAGCTAGATACCAGGATTTTGCTATGACATGTATCTAAAGATTTAATTTATTTTCAGTAGACCATTTCTTAAGTCTGTAAATCTTCAAGGCATTATTAAAGCGAACTTTTGACGGCTGTATTCGGATGTGATATTAAAAGCATGCACTATTGCATTTTTGCTGTGTATGGCAATTTTTTAAATTTTTATTTATGTTATGTCTGTACATTTGATAACCTCCTTCTATTTCCAACACCCCAGATGAGTTGTATAAGGGCATGCAAACACATTTTTGCAAATTCATTTGTCTTTATGCCTTACGAGATGTACTCTTCAAAATCTCCACTGTGTCTGTTTAAGCTTTTGCCCAGTGGTACATTCAAGCACATTCAGAGAACCAAGTGACGTCTCTAGGAAACCGGGTATTAGGGTACAATAAGTTACAATCCTATGGGACGTTATTAAATCAATAGTATAGCTGGTAATCATAAAAAATAGTGTAATTTTGTATCAAACAATCTACCAATATAAGATGTACTTGGAATTCTCCAGTTTCCCTGATTTTTTAAAGAAACAAACTCATAGCTCAAATCAAGCTTCATTAAATGGGGACGTAGAGAGCTCTCGTTAAACTAGCAAAAGGTAGATTTCACTTTTAAGAGCGCAATAAGACTTGTTATTATTGTAGACCATCACTTATAATCTTTAGAACTGTTGTTTCCATTTAGTCATTACTGAATAATGAAAACGACGGAGCAACATGTTCAAATTTAAAGTTCATAAGGATGACCAGCAGAGGGCATTGCAAGTCTTTTTTCTTTTTACAAAGAACATTTCGACGCATCTTGACAGGACAGGACAATTCATTTGCGGCACCTGTGAACTATGTAATGGGCACTGATCATTCCTAGGCTCAGACACTGACTGCTGCAGTATCTCTTACTTACGTTACTTACGTTATTATGTTTTGTATCCTAAGTGAAGCCTGCATTGGAGTTTTTCACACTCAAATTTTGTTGTTGTTGTAGGATGACATGAAATTGCAGTGACTTAAATTCAGATTTTTCAAAACAGGCTGTTGTCCACTAATAAAAATGTTCACATTAAAAGCAAGAAGTACTTCAAACAGCTAGAAATTCACATATTTTAATGTAGTGTATTATCTTTGTGAATAAGGGAGATGGGAGGGCTTATTGTTTCTGTTTTGAGTAATTTTAATGTATCAGTCCAAGTGAGAAACAGCTTCTGTTGAGGAGCCATGAGGTTTATTTACCAAGCTATCCAGCCACCTTGTCGAGGCTTCTTTCAAGAAACAGCTGGATGAGATACAATAATTAAGTACTACCAACCAAACAAGCAATATGGATGCCCTCCTTTTGTTTGTACCCTTTTTACAATCTTCTTTTGTAAAAACATTTCACAATGAAAAACTATAGTTCTGTAAATCTAATAGTACTGTGTTAATAAAATGGCAAGTCATTAAAAAAAAAACACTGAATTGGTAAAATCAGTATTAAACACAATTTAGCATTATCTGGAAATGTAGTGCTAACTCCTTAGTCTAGCAGCTCGCCAGCTCTGAAACAATACGAGAGAATTTCAAGTCAGTTGATTGACAGATGTAGAAATATAAATGTTAAACTGTGACTTGACGTGGAACCTTTTTTGTTAGAAATGATATGTCAGATAGTTAAATGTACTTGGAAAATGATTTGCACATATTTTCTAGTTTGAACTAGAATGTTTAAATTTCTATCTCTTTTCAAACTATTTTCAAAGCAATTTCATTTAATTCTTCACCAAATAGTTTTGAAAGATGATGCAGTGCCTTGAATGGGATTAAGACCTTTCCTATGGTGTCCCATGTGGTGAAAATACAAAATGATGAATGATATTGTACATATACATTTTTAATTAATATTTTATTCAAAACCTCAACTCAGTTTGAAGACTATGGGTAAGATCAGTTACAGTAAATGTCAGCAAAAACTAAAGAAAAAAAACTTTGATTGCATAATTGCTCAGACTCTTAAATTCAATATTTGGTGGAAGTATCTGTAGAAGAAATTACAGCTGCAAGTCTTTTAAGGTAAACCTTGCTCAAACTTTCACAGGATGACTGTGGATTGCTTATGGACAGCAATTCTCAAGCCTTTCCAGTAGGATTCAAGTCAGGACATTCACTTTCTGTTTTAGGTCTGAAGCAATCTTTTTCTATATGATTTGCCATTACTTTGGTCCATCTATGTTCCCATACTATTGACAAGCTTTCCACTCCCTGCTGATGAGATCTAGAACTATAACAAACGTCTGCCACCACCATACTTGACAGTAGTGATGGTGTTGACTGAGTGATGCTCTCTGTTGTAGTTGCATCGGAAGTAACACATTGCATTCAAACCAAAAGTTAAAATTTTCTGTTGTCCAAGCACAAAACCTTTTGCCACATGTTTGCCGGATCCTTCAGGATTTTTCTGCACACCCTGTGTGAGTTCTTTTCAGTTCCACACAAGCCCTTTTTGTGGAGTGTCCAAGATATTGCTGACACATGGACATTTTTTCCCATCTCAGCCACTGAACTCTTTCAAAGTTGCGCATGGCCTCACAATGTCATCTCTAACTTGTTTTCTCTTTGACCAACTGCTCAGCTGAATGTGTTTGGGTTCCTTCCACTTTTTACTTCAACATGCTCAGAGAGAGATATTAAAGGTCATTGAAATATTTTACCTTATCTGTGCCTTTATACAGCTGTACTCCTGAATTTGAAAAGTTCATTGGTCTCTTTGAAATTCACTTCCTGAGTAAATGTGTATTTATTCTGAAATCATGTGTACCTCTATTATTTCATACAACCAGAGGTCATTCAGCTACAGTAATTGTATGACTCATTAAGGTAAATTTGTTGAGCTAAATTAATTTAGATTTGCCACAGCAAGGAATGTGAATACATACAATATGCAATCATGGCTTTTCCATTTTTATTTCGTATGAATTATCGATTTTCTACTTTCTTTGAATCAACAAAATGTAAAAATAAGCAAGGGTCTGAATACTTCTACAAGGGACTGTAAATTGGTGTCTGACTAGAAAGCCTACCTTCTTAAACTGAGCTAATAACTAACTGACCCATAAAATTTATGAATGCATGAATGCGTTTAGATTATTTATACGAAAAACATTGACTTGGCTTGACATTTTGATGTGAAAAAGGTAATTGTAGGGTTTTTGTAGTTTGGGATAACAGCTAATTTAAGGGAAGGAAATTGTTAGGAGTTTCCTCTGTTCCTGAAAATTATTTTCTGAGAGAATTATAAAAGATTGTGAGACTTCAGTGCTTCGGGGCAAATTTGTCTTACTGTGAGGTTGGAATACTTTGTTAGATAACTGCACTAGTTTTTATTTACTGTTTCCGTAGCTAAAATGTTTCAGGGCAGTCTGTGGGTCTCCTCGTTATGAGCAACAACAAATGCAGACAGCAATCATTTGAAGACTTACAACATCTTTGCTCCAGTTCATGAAGAAAAATAGCCACATTCGGTTGGTGTTGAAGGGTAGCAGTATGTGATCTGCCAAAATCTATGGACTTTTCTGTAAAGGACAAGTACTTTCCAGAGAGTCACAATGCTGTTAAGAACTTTGATAATGGATTCTCACAGTTTACCCTAGGGATGGCTTTATTTTCACTAATTTACGTAAGTAGGTTTTTCAGTATTTCTATTTAACTTTTAATAGACATTCGGATTACAGATATTCTTCAATAAAAAGCATAATTTTCATTATTTTAAGTCAGTGCTTACATTTCATTTCAGGATACAGATGATAGATTAATTTTCAAACCTGCAGAAAACTGCTTACAATACATCCACTAGAATAATACTTTATTGTTCTGGGTTTTGGCAGAGATGTACTTTTACCTGAATTCTGACTTTTTTGTTTCCTTGGTAACTGGTAATTAAATTATTTTTAACTGTATCTAGTTATTTTTGTAGCAGTTACATATGTAAATATTGAAAATATTTTAATTTAAGATGTACTGTAACTATTGTCCTGAATTAAAACACAGTGTATTTAAAAATGTATCAATTACTGATGTACAATACATACAGTACAGCAGCCTGCTGTATGAAGTCTATAATGGCTCACAAAAGGCCACAAAGATAATGAAACTACTGTAACTAATTTAAACCATATTTCAATGTCAGTTCTGACTTTCACAGAACAACAGCTGTAACACAAATATACAGTATATATGTTTTGGACATTGATTCTGTAAAAGTTAAGATCCGATTGTTATGTTCTGCAGTTATACATACTCTAACATAGTTCCTGAAGTTTAAAAAAAACACTTATGTAGACAACTGAAATAGCAATCAAATGTTTTTCTTAGAACAAGCATGCAACCCAAAAATGTCATAAGATCTTGCTAATTCACAAAAACATCCTCAGGCATTTCTCAAAAGTCTGTAAATACACTATCCCCCTTCCATTACAGAATGGTTTGTGTATATTCTACCCCTTGTGTACTGTAACACTGATCTCTTTTGTTCATTCAAAGTGGCTCACACAGTTAGCTATATTCATGCTTGACTAGAGAAAGTCCCATCAGTAGCTGGGCTTTTGTCACAAGAAGACCAGAGTACATAGATCTTTCTATGATGTATTTACCGTCAGCAATTTGGGAGTAAAAAGTCACTGACAGCTGAATATCTAAATGTCTAAAAACCATTCACTGTGATCAATTGAGCAACACAAAACGTTTTAGTTATCTTTTGTTTTTGTTTTAGGATTCTTTGAATGCTTCCGTTTCCAGATGAAGAGATTATCAGGTAAACTAGTTAAGCTATTAGCCTTTCAATTTCTGCTTCTCTGCATGTTTGTAATGTATGTGAAAGACTAAAGAAGGGAAATTTCATAACATTCTAAAACCATATTGTTTTATAAAGTGTTCTTGTATTATATAATGATCAAATGTTAAGATTAAAATGATGCATGTAATTCTGATCCATTTATGAAGAACATATGTAGAACCAAATAATGCATAGCAATAATCAGTATTCAAAGATTTCGGAAAGAAATGTCTCAGTTTTTGCATAGTTTGTATTTTACATTGGCAATTGCAAACAAAGCATTTACGATTTGTGTCTTGCTTGTGTATTTGTTTAATTTTTATATAGGTTTAGAAATCTATAAAAATCTATGCTTTTTGCTGTTACTCTGGTAACCAAGGGAGTTCTTCCAGGGACTTCATTAATAGCTGGGGCCCAAGAACGTTATGGAAGAAGTGAAATTTGAGAGCTGTACACTGTTACCTGAGAATCACAGAAGAATAGGTTGGGAGTCAGCTGGTTCCATTCACAGTTCACCAGGTTACACAGCATTAGGGGATAAGTACTGGGAACTCCTGATGTCTCAGGTGCAAATTGTACCAAGGGCTACAAGAACCAAAAGCTGCAGTGAGAGTAGCAGGCTGGAGAACCTGCAGATTCTTCCGGAGGGGTCCCACAAACCACCAACAGGTACCCCTCCCAGTAACAAAGTGCAGTCAGTCTTTGAAAGGGCTCTCTCCCTGCCCTTACTGCACAATGAAGCCATCGACTTGGCCCTGCATCTCACAGAGACCCCCGAGCACACTCAGTGGTGTTTCTCACCCAGAAGGAAAGAAGGAACTCCAGGGCTGTCCAAAAACTCACTATGCAGTGAGAGCTCCTTCACGTCTGGAAGGAACCAAGCACAGGAATCCAAAGACAGCTTGGAGACCATTCACTTCAGGTGTACTTCAAGAAAGGAGTATGTCAGGTTCTGCACTTTGGCAGCTGTTAAAAGCGGATGGTTGCCAGTCCAGAGGAAAGCAGCCAGCTACGTTATTCCTTGTAATACTGGGGATGAAGAGAGCTCAGCTTTAATCTCTGAGGTGAGACACCTGAAGCTGTTTGCAAAATGAAAGAGCTATTTTAAAATCATGTATTGACAACACTAGCTCTGAGGTTTTTTTGGGGGTTCCTACTGTGTTGAAATATGAGAATTCCTAGTGGATTATAACTCATGTGACTGAATTTTTGCAATTACAGTCAATGCAATTACTGCATGCTTGAATCTACTTTTATAATTGTTGGACCTTTTCATGCATTGTGCAGACTTTAAAAATGTGAAACAAACGACGATAATCAGCTAGTGTCTCCAGTTGGATCAGGCAATGTTATTTTAGAAACAGTTATTTTGTTTTTGCCTAGATATTTTTTGTGAGTGGCAGCTATTATTTTCACTCTAGACCTGTTCTTGCAATGATGATAAAATGCTCCTTTTTCATCTGATGCATTCAAGGTGTGAAGCAAAGGGATTGTCACTAGTAATCTTTTCTGTTTGTGCATTACATGAGATTTTTCATATAAAATATATTCATTTTTAATAGAATTCCTTGGCAAATGTATCTTTACCTGAATATATTTATATTATTGGCTAATACATAGAAACACACTACCTCTGCCCTGATTATATTCTCATGCCAAGTTATCTAACTGAACCCAGACCACCTTATTTGATGCCCTATGATAATCAGCACTGACTGTACCCTACCCTACAAATGATACTTTTCTGAGATTGAATCACAATCACTAACCCTAACTGATCTGAACTTGAAAATGTCAACCTGGAGACCTGCAAGACCCACTTGGGAAGCTTGACTTGATTAGTCACCCAGTATCCTCTAGATCTGTATAGTCCTGCATTTGCTATGGAAACACATAAATATGCATCAGTTACAATTTAGTGATGACATTGCAATTGCCGCATATTACTCCACCACAATTATCTTAAAATGTATATAGTAAGTGGCTTTTTTAATCAGAATCAGAAACTTTTATTTCGCAAGTACAAAATATACAAGGAATTTCTCTTGGTGCAGGTATCAAAATACTGTAAATTCCAATAAAAGAAAATAAAAAACCTACAGATAAAAACAAATCTCAGTGATATGTAGCATTTAAAAGTATATACAGTTGAATAATAAAATGTAAAATGAGTACTGCATGTATTTGCAAAAAATATCAGTGGTACAGTATGTGCCATTAAATAAAAATGTACAACTAGTCACAGAGAAGGAATCTAAGAAGTGTCCTTGTTTATGAGAGTTATAGCCTGGGGAAAGAAGCTATACAGGTGTCAGTTAGTCCCAGGTTTTAGGGCTCTCACTCTTGGGCTCCGCTGAGAGGGAAAACACTGGAGAGTGGCTGGGGTGTGAGGGGTCAGCCACAATTTTCCCCACCCTCTTTCTCATCCTAGACTAATATAAATCTGTCGGATGGGGGGCTGGTAGCCGATGATTTTCTCTGCACATCGCACAATGCTCTGTAATTTCCACTTTGAGTGTGATAATGCAAAGCAAACCAAACAAAAATACAAGATGTGATGACTGATTCTATTATGGCTGTATAGAACTGGACCAGCAGCGTTGTGACAGCCCAAATTTCTTAAGCTGTCTCAAAAAGTACACGCGCTGTTGGGCCTTCGTGATAATTGTGGTAATATTCTTGTCCCATTTAAGGGCCTGTTGAATGATAGCTCCTAGAAATTTGTAAGAAGCCATGTACTGAATTTCCAAGGGAAGGAGAGGAGTGGGCTTGTTCCAGAAATCAATGACCATCTCCACAATTTTGTGAATTCAACTCCAGGTTGTTAACTTCACACCATGACACCAGATGGCTTCCTTTCTCCCGGTATATTGATTCGTCACCGTTTGAGATGAGACCAACCAGAGCAGTGTCGTCCGCAACTTGAGAAATTTGACAGATTCGCTGTTAGGTGTACAATCATTGGTGTAAAGTGAGTAGACCATGGGAGAAAGCACACAGCCCTGTGGAGCACCAGTATTGAGAAGGACGGGGTTCAAAAAGTGGTCACCCACCCTAACGTACTGTTTCCTCTTGGTTACGAAGCCATGGATCCTGTGGCAGACAGGATGGGGAACAGTGAGCTGCTTCAAATTATTCAGATGTAGGTCTACAAACAAAATACCGACATAAGTGTGAGAGCTGTCCAGGTGCTGCTGGATGTAGTGCAGAGCAAAGTTGATGGCATCGTCAACAGACATGTTAGCTCTGTATGCAAACTGCAGTGAGTCCTGAAGAGCATCAGTCATGGTTTTGAGGTGATTCAAGATGAGTCTCTCAAAGCACGTCATGATGACAGAGGTTAAAGCAACTGGTCTGTAGTCATTCAGGCAGGAGATGGTCTTGATCATATAAAAAGTGCAATTACTTTTGCAAGGCAATTCATAGATTGGTTTTGGGGGTGAAATGGGTGTTTATTAACTTCAATTTAATTTCTTTAAATTTCATCCTATAACAGTGTTAGAATTTACATTCCAATAATTCAATGGCTGTGAGAAACATAAAAGGAAAGTTAAATTTAACATATAAACTGTATTTTAAGGTGAAGATGCACTGTAAAGAATGACCCAGAGTTTAGTCAAGAACCTTTTAAAAAACAGAAAGATTATTATTTAAATACAATACTTGTGTGGAAATACTGGAAATGTGTAGCTCTTATCAGATGTCAAAAAGACCCCTTAACTGACAGTGATTGAACACACTGAGCCCTGATTTACTTCCACCTCTGCATCAAAGTTATTCCAGCCAACAAGATCTTATTACTGATGCTTCAGAAAGCCCAAAGCTGCCAGACAGAATTGTAACCATCTTAGCTGTTTCACTGCTGCTGTGCCAAGATGTTTCATGGAGTACTTTAGAAATGCTGTAAAGTGCCAGGAAACAGAAGACAATGTAGTGGCATCTAATGATGTTATAAGTCAACTTACACAACACAGGGAATGCTTGGCACTTGGATACGGTCTCATAAGCTGAAAATATCTTACTCCTTGGAAAGAAACAAGAAAAAAACGACAGGAGAAATGTTTCTCATTTGTCCAGTAAAATAAATGTATAATCTCAGACATATTGTAGAAGAAACAGCAGAAAATGTTAAGGTCTGACTGTAACACACTTTAAATAAATGTGCATGAAGACAATCCTATGCATTCAACACTATGGCAATGCTTCTAAAATATGTTGCCAGGCTCTCAGCTTGAAGTTAATAAAACATACTACAGTATGTAAAAGGCAGCAGGCTCCTTGATCAATACCCATTGCTTATGGGCAACTCATCACCCGTTATTGAACTGCACAGATAGGAGCCAGAAACTGCAGAGTGCATTGTTTCTAATGAACTGTTCCTACCCTTAAGTTCACTTGGTAATTTTTCTTTTTTGACGGTCACTTTCGCAGTGATACACGTTATCTTCAAGGGCCTACTTTCAGAGTACGCCTTTCAATCAGCGTCTCCTGACCTAAAAGGCATCAATCACAGAGACACTATTGATTTGCGGGTTTTTGCAGTTGTTGTCTCAAACTAAAACCATTTCAAAGCAATTTGGAGGAAATTTTAGAGCTTCTTTTCTCCAAAGCAACTTCAGCACTTTTTCTGAAAGATGAACATTGTGTATTACCTGACCGCTTACTTCAAGACACAAATTCAAGAAAAAAACAGCATCAACTTTGTATCAGAAATTAACATAAAGAGCCTTCCATAACTATTCCATAACGTTTGATTTAAAAATAATATCAACATAATATCAGTATAATATCATAATAATAATACAGGTTATTAATCAATAAACCAAAGTTTTAGAAACTCACAACTAATAAAGCTGTGAGGGAGAGAGTACAGTACTTAGGCACTTTAAATGACCAGATGCACGTTTTCTCTGACCTTTTTTTTTGTATTTTAGACCAAAGCAGTCGCTTTCAGTAGAGGTTCAATGGTTCCTGAAAACCTCTTGAACAAGAAGACGCCTGTTCAAACTGGTAACTATGAATGTATTATTTTATGATGCTCTGTTCTGATTAAAATACACTAATAAGTAGTGTGCTGTACTGTATAAGTTTACAAAAGTTTAAAAAAATGCTTGGTTTTAAAAGGGACCCAAAGAATGCAGACAAATTAGTTTCAGGAATGGATAATAAAAATAGTAATTAAACATTTTCTTTGCAAACCAGATTGGTTCATATTTAAAGGTTAAACCCCCCCAAAAAGATTTATTTTATATATATATATTTATATATTTATTTGTGCCTATATACTGTATATAGTATGTGTTTGGCTCGTCTGTTATTTTTTTTAAAGGCTGAATGGAGCTGTCAACTGTAATTAAAGGCCCAAAAAAGAGCCACTGGACTGATGCAGTGAAAGATATGAGACATGTCTGCAGTACTATTGTGTGACCGAAGTAAAAAATTGTCATTTATCACATTGCTGTACCACGTGAAGGCAACTGAAGATAATTAGAGATTTTCTGAACATGGGGGTCACTCAACCAGGAGGGACACCTGTCCCCTACAGTGCAGGGTAGTTGGTTTTAAGAGGCCAGTAAGCTTTTGCGGGAGATAACTTTCCCTGACCTTGTAGAATTACACTGTGGTGCAGAACAATGTGCGCTTTGGCATGCTGAGAAAGGGATTGGGCTGCTGCTGTTACTTTAGTCAAAGGTGCTCAGGGCTAGTTATCACATAGTGGAACGCTGGGCTGTGATAGCCAGTCACCACATTGTGTGGACTGAGACTCAGGTGTCATTGTCAGGCAGTCAGAGAGAGGAAATTCTGGATATAAGGGCACAGAGTTTTTCCCACATTACAGAAAGAGATGCTGGTTGCTGATGCTAGTATCCTCCCTCACCAAGAAACACTCAGATTTGGTTGCTGCCCTCATTGCTGTCTCAAATTGTCTTTATTAAATAGTTCAACAGCTGTTCAGTCACATTCCATTTAGTTGCCTCCAGCCCCTCTTCAGCACATCAACAGAAATTAATAATCAAACAAAAATAAATTACTTTTTATAACGAAATAAAAACGTACATGCAGAACTGAAATATTAAAATGTAGGTTGGCAGCTGGAGTAATAAATGAATGAATGAATTAGCCAAAGATAATGACCTTGGCCTCTCAGTGGGTTCCTAACCATGAGGATGGTTTATAAACACCATTATCTAAATGCCTTGAGAATACAGCAGAAACACAAACATGTTGCTGTAATTGCTGTGCTCTGCGGAGGCTTGTGATGGGTTTATTTCAGTGGGCTTCTCCAGCACAGTGCATCTGCTTGCTCTGCAACCATGCGCCCTTTGGCATTGCTCTATGTTGCCATCACGAGTCAGGCACTGCTTGCTGAGCAAATTGCTGTATTGAAGGATTACAATAAACAGAAAGACAAAGTGAATTCAGGATAAATAATGCTCTGTCCATTTGAGAATGGGAAGAGCCCCTCACTGAGAGCAAAGAGAATCACCTTTCAGGAATAAAAACCTGTTCTGTTTCTGTACACATTTTGCAAGCTCTTATTTGTACACAGGCCTTTTAACTAGGAACTTAATTTGCCCGTGGTAGTCGATTGTTTACGTGTTACACAGCAAAGGCTTTGGCTAAACACACAAGAGGTAACAAGCAAGAGATCTGAAAAAGCAAGGGACTTAAAAACAAATTTGGGGCCGTTTTCATTTGATGCACAGCTGTTCTCTATAAGCCCCAGCCGAGGTCTGTTGGAGCTTAATCAGTGATCAGACAATGAATTTTTCTTTTTAGTATCAGTAAAATTAGTTTTAGTTCAGATTATTTGTTTTCCATGAACCAGGGGTAAGCGTCTTAAACTGGAACATCTCTGGAAAACTGGAGGCAAGAACAAATATGGTAGAAATACTGTATTTTGTAATAATGTAAATTGGATCTGATGCTTGCAACACTGAATGCTACTGTATGTTATTTACCTAGATATAAAAAACTTGACTCCCTTCAACTTAGTATAACAAAATATCTTATTAAATGCATAATAATAAAGATAAATTCAAAGGTACTATATGTATTATGTTATACATAAAAACTATGTTTTTATTTTTATTTAATTTAAATTTACATTTTTGCGTTTGCAAGCTGTTTTAGAAGACTGTTGACGTGTCACAGAAAATTCCTTGTGTAGAATTAATGACCCATTAAATTTCTATTTCATTTTTCAGCACAATCCCATTGTGCACTAGGCCATATTGAAAGGGAAAACTGAAAGTTGAACCAAGAAAAAAATTTAAGCAATAATTAATTTACTAAAGTAGGCACGACACAGGAATCAGGGACAAAATCTAAAAACTATATATACAAATGTTGTAGAAGTCAAACATATCTAAGCAAGAGAGCAGTCAAACTGGGTTTACATCATCCGGCAATTCTAGGAATTGGAAAGATCACATTGGTTAGTATGACATTAACAGTGTTAGCTCATGAACATATTGAGATTGAAAGCTCTTCCTCTGCAGGCAGTTGACAATCCAAAACTGAGGATTTTATTTAGTTATTTTGTTATTTTTTTATTTTGCAATTGGCACAAGATAGGGCACACCAGTCCATCACAGGGTGGACATACAGACACAGACATGCATACACTCACACCAATTTTTCCAGAAGGTAATTAACTTACCACTATGTCTTTGGACTGTGGGAGGAAACCTTAGCATCTGGAGAAACCCATATTAACATGAGGAGAACATACAAACTCCACCCCGATAGCAAACCGGGACTACCGTGTTGCCCGAGGTTGACTCAGCTAAGTTGGAAAAGTTTCTCTCCAAACACATGCACAGAAAACCAAGTAAGGACCAAATAAGATACTCTGAAGTATAATGTATCAGCAGCTTTTTTTAAGGCAAACGAGAGACAATCAAGATCAATAACATGCA